GAGTGAAATTGTACAGACCAACAGTAGCACTATAAAAGGCGTAATTAACTGAACCGCATGATTACATTTAAATTGAATTACTACTTGATTTTTATGTTAAAGAAAGGAATATGCTTATTTGCAAAATAACCATGTATTACCACTAATGTCCACTTATTATTTTTGTAACACTAATTTCAAGAATATATGATCATTAAAATTGCTAGAACAGAAATTGTAAACATTAAATGATAAGCTGTAACTCTACAGAGTTCATTAATGTGTAATTGAATGACAAGTTAAGAATAAAAACTGCTAACATTTTTGGTAGTTTAAAAACAAAGTTTTATATTCATTTATGGTTTAATATAAATATTGCAAGCCTTATGTTATTTTGAGGGGCGGGTTTCTCCTTAATTAGCTGATAAGTTCTAGAATATAGTATTAATTTGAAAAATATAACTTAAAGCCCGCATTTTCATTTAAATAATCAATTACACCCAAATTCAGAAGTTTTTTTGGTTTTTTTTTTTTTAATGTTTATAATCAGAGGACCTTATTCTGAGATTTTGTATTGTTTTTCCATTAAGGATGATTTTTTTTTTTTAACCTTCAGTTACACTGGAGTGAATGAGAGTAATATAGGCTCAGAATCACATTTATTTAAATTGGGGTGTGCTATATTGCAATCCTCAGCATTTAAAAGGCATAAATGTGTGAACATTTTTAAGCACACAAATTGTTTATATATATATATATATATATATATATATATATATATATATATACATATGGTTTAGTGGAGGACTTGGTTGGACTAGATGATCTTGGAGGTCTCTTCCAACCTAGATTCTGTGAAATATATAAGTAAATATGCATAGCTAGTTAAAATAACAAAACAGTTTTTACTTCTGGTTTCCTTTCTGTTACCGTACATCTTAGAAGAGAAGAAAGGAAATTTCTGTGTAGGAAAAATTCTGTGTAGGATTGTACTGTCATATCTCATCTCTGTCATATCATATAATGTATCATATTCATAAAATATGCTGCTCAAAGTTTTACGTAAGCAGTAAAAGGAATACTCTAACTTGATATAGTCCACATATCCTGAAAATCCCAGGCATAGGATGATCCAGGCTAATTAACTATACAGAAAATACCCACTCAAATGATGCATCTGAAACATGAGAAGTCCCCTATGCAGGTACAAAACCTCTGTGCAGTAGGTATGATGCAGATGCACACACACATTTCATTCAGGGAAATCTGATGAAAAGCCATACCAAGCCCTTCAAAACATGACTTAGTGAGTACTATTGCTAGAAATCAGAAATTACTGAAAAATCTTTTTATTAATAAAAATCACAATAAAGATGACTCAGCCTGTTTCAGATGTGGTGAAGAGGGTCCAAATCTCCAAATCACCTTGATTTAGCCTAGTAGTTATTTAGGTCTAGCACCTTCCTATCTGTCTGTAGCTGGCCAAAGGGTTCAGCAGCTGTGATGGAAGCCAGGGTGCAGTCTTCAGTGCCATTTGCAATGACATGCCTTCCCGTGTCTAACTTTGCCTGTTTCCTTCTTTCTTATCAATTTTCAGTAAACTATTTTCTGACCAGTTTTCACCTATGTGTTATTATATCTGCTTTACTAGAGGCACAAGAGAAAAGAAACGTTCTCACTGCTCCACCACTTTATGCTACATTATTTAACATAGGAGAAGGCTACTGCAACTTCAGTATAAAATCTGTTCAAAATCTGTTTAAAAAAATAAAATAAAATAAACTTCCTTAACTAAGAGGAATGGAGATATTTGACATCTTAGTATATTTTAAACAATGCAAAGTATCTGGTGTTTGAAAAGAATATGAAAGAACTTCAGAACTAGAAAATATGGGATACTTGTTTTTTGTTTTAGGCTTCCTCTTAATTAATGGCGTAAATCCAAAACAAGAGGTATATTATTTTATATGTCTATTGTTTTCTGTACCAAGAAAAGCCCAGCATTCTTCTAAATATATTTTCAATTTGTAGTTTTGTTAACTCTTTGTTATGAAAGTTGGAAAATCACTGGGGAAAGTAAAAATTAAATGAATCTTTAAATCACGGTAAAAGTATTCTAAGGAAATGTGAATGATAGTTTAATGAAAATGTTTACAGATCTAATTCTTGTTTATAATCTGGATTTAAATTTAATTATCCCCATTCATAAACTAAGAAACCAGAATTTTAAAAATTAAATATTCATCCTCTCTTAATTACCAATTTAGTAGAAAAATCGATTACCCTTCCCTTCCCTTCCCTTCCCTTCCCTTCCCTTCCCTTCCCTTCCCTTCCCTTCCCTTCCCTTCCCTTCCCTTCCCTTCCCTTCCCTTCCCTTCCCTTCCCTTCCCTTCCCTTCCCTTCCCTTCCCTTCCCTTCCCTTCCCTTCCCTTCCCTTCCCTTCCCTTCCCTTCCCTCCAGGAAGAGTAACTTTTGTTTTGTTTTAATTACTTATTTATTAATATTCTTGACTAGGTCTATAGAAACATGCAAAGCTTTACGTAGAATATTTAAATATGGATGCAAAGCCTTCCTACTTTAAATGATTGATGCAGAAATGTAATCCATTTTTTTTTTTATAATTTCAAAAAAAGAAAAACAATTTTTGTAATATCACAATTTACACTTTTGTAATAATACAAGGCCGTGTTAATGGATGGTTTTCTTCAAGTCTTCAAACTTATATATAAATTTGAAGATTTATATATATATATTTTTTTTTCATTCAAATTATGCATGTATGGTTTTTATTTAAGCAAAAAGAAAGATTTCATACAGAAACACTGATTCAGAAATGTCCTTTTTTCCTTAGAAAGGGGATACAAAAAATATTTATTACAAAATGAAAGGTTTCATGAAAATTAACTGTCCTTACCAAACAAAGAAACAAATAAAAAAAAAAAAAAACAAAAAACCAAAACCCAATACATTTGGACCATAAATATGGTATAGATTCAGTTTTTAATTGCCTCCTTAGCAGGCTGTTGAAACAGAGTTTATCTATTTTCTCACTATTATTAAAGCACAAGAAGGAACCAGGTACATTGACTTTAATGGGACTTCACTCATTTTACTGGCTATGCTCTAGCTGGTTAAATCTGTAGTCCAGGAATATTGTAGAGTTGCTCAGTTTTGACTTTAAGATAAGGTAGCTAATACAGTTTCCTTACACCTGTTTTTTGTTTGTTTGTTTGTTTGTTTGTTTTTAATATCAGTAGCAGTTTGAAGAAAATTATAAAGAGAAATCAGAGGAAATGCTCTAGCGTAACAATACTAATGTGGAGGTTTATATAGAATTTGACAGGATTTATAGCATATAAAATTTTATAGCTGAACAGGTATATGTTTCCTACCCTAATGTGAGATTCTGCTCTCAGCTGCTTTGAATTTGTACCAAGAGTGCAATAAAAGTAACATAGATTCTGTATAGCATGTGTTGCTATATAATATTTAAAGTGTAAAGAATTTGAAAGGTAGTTAATAGACGGAAATGTTTATGCTAGAGGAGATAGAAAAATGTAATAAAGAGTAGGAGGCATATGGTAACTCAGATGAGAAGCATTTCATGCTGGGAGAGAAATTCCTCTTCTGTGGTGTGTTGAATAATCTGGTGTGGGTGTTTTTCTTTGTTTATATGATGTCCTAAGAGCATCAACAGTCCTGTGAGGAAATAAGTATTTTAATGAATTTTAGACAGTTGTGCCCTAAAGAAATGCATATCTACCCATAAAATATGCAAAGATAGCCCCAAATGAAGATGGCTTAATTATATATATATATAAATTTGTATAAATATTTATAAATTTATAATTTATAAAAATATATTTATAAAATATTTATAATTTAAAAAATATATTTATAAATTTGTATAAATATATATATATATATGTATAAATATTTTAAATAACTCAGTCAATATAAGAAGCTTCTATTTACATGCGTATAGGTATGCGTTTTTAATTGACATGTATTGTTTCTAGGACAGGAACTCATTTGATGATAAAGCTTTAAAAACAGATTGTGAAATGCGTTTATGCCTAACTCTTGAATATGCGGGGGGAAGAGGGTGGTTCGTGGTGAATTACTACAATTTAAATCTTGCTCAAATGAAAGGACTCAAGTGTTGTGACACGGTATGGAACACCTGCCTCCTCAGGGCCTGAAAAAAACAGAATTTGCAAAGCTAATTTCAATTCGGTTCAAGGTGAGATTGACAGCTGTAAGTAGGTACAGTAAGTGCAAGATGCCCAAATAAATCAATAGGAAATGTGGAAGCACTTCTGAAATTCTGTCTCCTGCAGGGATTGCACTCACAAAAGATGGGAGCCAGAGTCCTGTTTTTTGGACATTTACCTGATAAAAGCGCTTGCCCAGTAAACAATGTTCTGTTTCCTGGGCTGCTGATGGAGTTTGTATTTGCTTCTTATTGGATAAAGAAATTAAAACAAACCAAGAAAAGCAGCCACTCAAGACAGTACCTTTCCCATTGGATCAGCTGAACAGCTAACATCTGCTCTTCTTTGGCCCATGTGGCTTTTACACTTCTTGCTCACAGTGACAGAATTATCCACAAAAAGGATAAAAGGCGGTTACCTCCCATAGCACTGTGATTAGCACAGTGTGATATGATGTGCCAGCACCAATTTTAGCATTCCTTGTCCTTTGGTGGGGGCAAGGGAGAAGGAATGTCTCACAATGTATCTCCTGGAGCAGAGGAACAAGCCATTAGAAGTAATGGTTTGTGTAAATGTTATGTAATCTGTGATCCCTGAGCAAAATGGTGCAGTAGGAATTTTCAGGAGGTTGGTAGAGGAATGCTTGTTTTATGGACGTCAGGAGAGGACAGATCTACTGGAGATATAAAACACAGTAATCAGCTCAGCAAAGGCCATAAACAACAGTCCTCGTTCAGACGTTTTGAGAAGTTACTGTTTGAAAGAGTAACATGTCTTATATGTGTGGGTGTTTGTTTCCTTTGACAGAATTGCATAATGGGTGAGGTTGAAAGGGACCTCTGAAGATCATGTAGTCCAATGCCTCTGCTGAGCAGGATCACCTAGAGCACATTGGACAGGATGGCATCCAAGCAAGTTTTGAATATCGCCAGAGAAGGAGACTGCACAACCTCTCTGGGCAACCTGTTCCAGTGCTCTGTCACCCGCACAGTAAAGAAGTACCCCCTCATATTGAGCCAGAACTTCCTGTGCTTCAGTTTGTGTGTTACCTCTTGACCTGTTGCTGGGCACAACTGAAAAGAAACCTGCTTCATCCCCGTGACATCCTCCCCTCGGATATTTATACATATTAATGAGGTCTCCCCTCAGTCTTCTCTTTTCCAGCCTAAACATGCCCAGCTCCCTCAGCCTGTCAACAGGTGCTCCAGTCCTCCCATCATCTTCGTAGCCCTCCTCTGGACTCCTTCCAGTAGTTCTATGTCTCTCTTGTACTGGGGAGCCCAGAACTGGACACAATACTCCAGGTGTAGCCTCACCAGGGCTGAGTAGAGGAGGAGGATAACTTCCCTTGACCTTCTGGCTCCCTTTCACTCCTATGTCCCCTTTCTCCCTTTCTTTCTCTCTCTCTTTTTTTTTTTTTTTTTTTTTTTCCTCCATCAATCCTATACACTTCAGCATTAACTTGTGCTTGAGTCAGACTCTAAAAGCTCCTAGTTGCTGTGTTTCTACTAAATCCAGATACTCCAGTTAACTAAAAATGCATTTGCAATGTCATTTGCCATCACTTCAGCCGTGTCCAAGAATGTAAACATTTTTACTCAAAAGTGATGGCAAGGATTTTCTTCAGGTAACTTTAGAGGTACAGAATTTAAGCTGATGATCTGGAGATGAATGTTTTTCTATCTCTTTGCCATATCTAGACCATGCTCCAAAAGGTCGCCATGAAACACACCAACAGGGGAGACATAATAAAAGCTGCAAAATATGTTAATTTCTGTAATAATTCCTTCTCTTAGATGTAAAATTGTTAAAATAAAACTCAGTAGATAAGTGACAAGTCTAGAGATAATACAGCCCCCAGCAACAGACCAGTGATTGATTGATGTGTTACATATTACCTAAAAATAAAAATGGTCCTCACATCTTTCCTCCTACAGACTAGATGTTAATCTTAGCTGTGTTCTGGTCTAGCCCCCTGTCACAGAAATATTCTAGAACAATTCGAAAATTAGAAAACAATCTTCTATCCTGTTCATGTTAATAAGAGAATGTCACCTTTTCCCAGTTAACTGCAGAAAATATATGTTTCTGTCACACAGGAAATTTTTGTAAGGAAAAAAAGAGACACATCCAAAATCAAGCAGAAGGAAGAATGTACTATATTTAGTTGGCAAGGAAATCTATATAATTTCAACATGGACTATCTAAGCAAAAGCATGATGAACATATTTTTTTCTTGTATTTTTTTAATTATTTATTTGCTCTTCACCTGACAATATTTAAATGCAAACTTCAGTTCCAAATTTTATTTAAGACTACAGTGTCCAAAGAAGCAACTTAATTTATCTGAAACCATACACCATACAGCGTTCATATTTCTTTTTTTCTTTTTTTTTTTTCTTCTTTCTCTGTTTAAAGTTTGAATCCCCAGTGAGCAACATTCTGGCTTTGTAGTGAATATTCTGTGACTGTACAGAATAACACCAGGCCACTATTGACATTTTGTTGATAAGATTTGCATTAAAATATATTCACAGACAGCCTGTCTTGCAAATATATATCACTGTATAACCTTTATCAGTTTCAGAAACACTCAGTCTTTACCATGCATAACACTTACGGAAACATTTGCCAACAATTATCCTAAAAGATGGAGAGAAAAAAAGTAAAATGTTTTATAACTGATCAGTTACCTGTTGTGTCAAGATGGAGAAAAGACTCAAACATATTTCTCTGCAAATGCCTTATGCAAATACAGACCATTAACATGTTCTTTCTAGACAGCCTGGCTCATATATCTAGGTGTCTTTCCTCAACTTTCTATTCCCTCTCTTCAGAGAATCTAACTGCAAAAAGATCTTTTCAGATTTTGTTGTTGTTGTTGTTTCTATTCCCTTCAGAGTCAATTAGTTTTTTTTTTTTTTTTTTTTTTTTTTTTTTTTTTTTCCTGGATTATGCAAAATGCATTGAAAGCTACAGTTTACAATTTTTATTTACCAGTGCTGGGATGCAACATAGTATTACAGAGATATATAACAGTGGACAAACAAACTCATTCAAAGACAATCACACGGTAGTTTGATATTATCCAGCTGATTATACTAATTCTGATCCCATAAGATTCAGTAGTAAAACTGCCATTTGCCTCAACTGAAATGAGGTCTATTTTAATAGGAGGTATTGTTCAGGTCACTAATTAAATAAAAAAGTGGTTGTTGGCAGTTAATTAATCCTAGAGTGGTATGATTCAGCTGGTGGAATGAAATCTAGATGTAGACAGTGGATCATCTAAATCTGTCTTCTGCTCTCTCCATAGTCCAAGCAGCAAATAAAGGACTGACATTTGAACTCCCAAACCACGCAGGAGTTAGAAGTTTACGTCTTGTTGCTGTGATTCAGTTTTTCCATGAGTTAGCAGAACCTTGTATGCCTTTATAATTTTCCTTTGAAGTCTTCCATTCCATAGTTTTTCATTTGCTTGACAGCAAACCTGCCTGATTCTTTCTTTTTTTTTTTTTTTTTTACAGTGACGTGACAAGATGGAGTGACTACCATTTGAAGTGCTTTCTGTACACACATTTATGAATTCAATCTTAATAAGTCCAATATAGTGGTTTTTGTATTTGTTTTTTTTTTTTTTTTTAGATTTAGCTAAAACACTTCGTACTTCCCAGTGCCCAAATCTTTTTATAGATCTGTATTTTATCTCTTCCCTTGAGTCAGTTCAAGTCCTGAATTAATATGTTGATGCATTTCTGAGCTGAGCTGAAGGTCAAAGAGGAATCATTACTTAGTCCAGGTGCAGCACCAAATAGACTCTGTTTTAATCTTGTTCATATGCATGCTTCTTTGCTGTACTGCATTGATGTTTTTGGTTCAGGTCAACATTGTCTTCAGAGCATGCTGAGAGACAGTGTAGTTGTTGTGCAGTGTTATTATTCCCATGCATCTGCTGTACTGAGCACTGGGACTGTTTCTATACTAGCAAACAAAGTTTGCCTAGGACCATTGTCTGACACTGAGGAAAGATACAACAGAACTGTTTGCATCAATATGAAAGGATCCTTGCCTTATGAATTAGGGCAGCTGCAGGCAAGTTTTCTGTTGGGAACTAGTCCTGACCAGTGCTAAGTGCTGAACTGTACTCATGAGTTGTTGGGGACTGCTATTTGGCACTGCCTGAAAGCATGCCAGGGGCAATTCTAATAATTGAGCTGAGCTGAGTGGAGAGCTGATCTCCTGAGCCCAGAAATGTTTCCTATCCCTAGTATATTCATACCCTTGGAGCACAAACTGCACTCCAGCATGGCTTCTTTTACCTCCCCAGCCTGCTCAGCTCTTTGCTGGGCGAGATCTCTTCTTTGATTTTAAGAAAAGGAAAAGGCATCATACAAAGTTTTACCAAACATTTTCAGTGACATCCATTCACCCCCTCCCCCCTTTCTTTTTCTTGGTCAAGATCTTTCTTTTCTACATCTGTGTACTATAACCTGATTCTAATAACCACAGCATCATTGCCTATTTTCAATATTTGATGGTCCCAAATTCCTCACAAACACACCCGAGGGGCTTTTAAACCCTAAATTGCTTGGCTTTTGTGGGTTTAACTCTTTTATTTGAACATTAAAGTTTTCTGTTTATTATAAATATAAATGCTATGTCTACAATTTCCAAAAGCTTTGTTAATCATGGAAAGAACTAAGAAAGCTCCAAAGCAATTATATCTTCTAATTAGAAGAAATAAAAGTTCCCAAATAGTTCTTAGTGAATCACAACATTTACCAGTTTGTAGCCTGCAGCTATGTGGATGAGATTAGCTGCTAATTGGAGAAAGGAAAACAGAATGAATAGTAAATTAATTTTATGTTTTAAAAAAGCTTAGACTTGTATCTGATTTGCAATAAGAGAGTCTCTTTTGTGCTGTTGTTTTTTTTTTTTTGTTTGTTTTGTTCTTTCTCTTTCTCTTTCTCTTTCTCTTTCTCTTTCTCTTTCTCTTTCTCTCTCTTTCTCTTTCTCTTCTCTTTCTCTTCTCTTTCTCTTTCTCTCTTCTTCTGAAACTGGGAAAGGAGATGAAATATGCTGTTATATATATGCATTAAAGCGTTTGCAAACCACAGCTATTTTTCAAAAATGAAAAGTGGGGAAGGTTGGCTAAGGCCTATCTGATGCTTACAGAAGCTCTGGCATAATAATTTGTCTTTATACATTTGGCGTTTTTGCCACTATCATAAAAGTAAGGCATCATGGAGACTTTAGGGCACATCAGAAGAAGGAGCATAGCAAGATTGAGTGGAGCTTCCGTCTTTTACAAAGTCCCTAGAAATTCTTCAGCTATACAAAGTGTTTTTGGGTACCTCCAGTGGTCACATTTATGAGACAGACTGATATTTAGTGTCGGGGGTGGTAGCATATCCTTTAGATATTATGCAGTTCCAGATGTTGATCACAACCAAAATTTTATTATAATCTGTAATATTAATACAGAAAGTCTGTGTAGCTTTCACAGGCTACAAATGGTATATTCACTGAGTGGTACAGTAACTGAGAAAGCTCAGTTCAGATGCTTATGAACCTCATACGGAAAATTATGGAGACACAAAATTAAAGACAATATAGAAGGGTCTGTTCCTTGCTGTTCATTTGTTTCTTTTTAACATTTTGCAATACTAATCTATTTAACAGATTTTGAATGTTTAGTTGCTGATAGCTTGAGATTTGATTCATCAGCCCTTCTTCCTTACAGTAAAAGTAATGTCTAATTAACATTTGACTGTCATACTATAAAGTTGATTGAGATGGTGGATGATATTTTAGCTTATTGTCATGCAGTGGAAATGACAGAAAATAGCAACTATCTTAGACTAACTGGAATTTGAAAGAGGGGGTTCTTCCAAAGAAAATCTTATCTTTATCACACCTAAAGAGAAGTGAGTAGCATATTTCACAGAAGATAAGGTTACACTACAGGAAAGGAGTTATAAATAGGTGCAATTGCTTTATTGTAGATCTAAGTCCGTGTAGCTCTCAAAGACCAAGCTAACCATTTCTTCGCAAATAAAAGGAATTGCTTAGATGAATTACTGTAGTACAGTTTATTTTCTTACCAAAGCAGACAAAGTAGCATAAATATAACATTGCTTTTTTTTTTTTTTTTTTTTTTTTTTTTTTAATGGGTTTGATTATCGAATAGTATGATTAAGGTATTATACTGCCAGCATCCATGAATTCTTTATGTGTTATTTCCAGCTAGTAGGGAGACCATACATGATGGCAATGAGGAATATTTCTTAATGAAAAACATTTTGATGGGAACCCGTTTGTATGCCAGTATATGAGATTGTCATGTATTTTAGAAATATGCTTTAAAAAACCAACTTCCAGCTTAGCAACATATGTTTCTCTATTACATGTTAAGCAGGCTTTTTGGAACTGGATTGAATGTACTGAACCAGCCCTGCCTAGTCCAGTGCTGTTAGATTACTTCTGTTTCTTGCTATCCTTGATCATTTCAGTTACAATTTGATCTGGAACTAAGCTACATAACTTGTTTTTTACTATTAAAGATTTATCCAGAAATTTAATTCTTAGTCTTCCAAATTGTTTATGGTAGTGTGAATTTACATATCCTTGGTCCAAAGAAAAAAAGGAAAACATGGAAAAGTCAAGACATTTCTGCTGCTTCTTTTGACATAAGACTTTTTGCTCTAAATGGTATGTGTGTAGAGTTGCAGACAGTTCAAATCTAAATAAATCTGGTTCCGAGTAGACATTTCAGTTGCCCACTGTTTTGCCTATACTGATATTTGAGTCATTTGCAGATAGTCTGTCTTCCATGCCATAAATGATGTTGACAGTAAGAATACTGAAATTGAAATCTACTTGAAAAAGCAACAGAAATACAAATGAACCTGTCTGACTTCTTGTCACATGGCTGAAGACTTACAAATGTTTGAAGAAGGACATTTTTTTCCCCTATAGTATAAATACCAGGATGTCTGAATATTAAAAGTTTATACCATCACCCTTCCTGTTAAATTCTGTGTGAAATCTGTTTCTGTTTAAGCAAAGAGAATCATTGTTTTCAGGAAATGATGGAACGTTTTGTATGAGAGAAAAGATGAATTTTATGCATATCATTTCCTTAAATCCTTTGAAATTCTCAGACAAAAAATCTAAAACTGTAGT